ACGGATCAGCCAACACTGACGTCAATGCATACTTTGTTGCCCACCAGCAAGAAAAGGCCAGCTGCACACTTGACTTTCAGATATCAGTCACTCCCTCCCTACCTGACAGGAGGGTACAAGAACAATCACCACAGCTGAGATGAAATGTGATCCTGCTGGCCAGTGTGAGACATCTATTTGTCCAGTGAGAGAGTTCAGTGAGCTACCAAGCAAATAAATGATCTTCCTTATTCCAAAATGGAGTGGGGAGGTGGGGAGGGGAAAAACAAAACAAAATGAATCAAAACTTTCTGAGCTCTCTTCCATATTCCAGGCTTAATGTGCTGCTAGTGCTAAGTAGGCTGATAAAGACAAGATCTCACTGTGCTTGCTGATGCAAAGCTTTTTTAAATTTTACCTAATACTAGTGGCAGGATAACAAGTGGAAGACTTTTAATAAGTATTTTACCAATAAAATCTGTCTCAGGCTCCCTAATCCTTTTCTGTTCCAGGGCATAAGAATGAAATTTTATATACAGAAACCCTGTCTCAAGATCTTCTAGTAAGAAAGAAGATTGTTAGAAGCAATAATGAGAGATGATGGGCTACATGGGAATCATGGGTCATCTAAGAAAGGAAACATTGCTCTCTGGCTAAAGACAAGGGACCTGTGAGACACAGGTCATATTAACGAGGCTCATTACACATTACTAATTACACTGAAGGTCCCTCAGAAGAAAAAATTAATTTGCATTAAGCAGAGGCAATTAAGAATACGAATGATAAACTTTCCTTGTTCCTCTGAAATTTAAATTAATAAGGCCTTAAGGACTTGGTAATTAAAAAAAAAAACATGGTGAGGGGTTATCAAAAATTTCTGGATTTGTTTTCACATGGACTCAATTATATATTATATACAAGTAACAGCTACCTTTTTTAAAATAGCTACCTTTTACTGAGTGTTACATGGTGACACTCAATAAAACAATTTATTTAACAAACACTTAAAAAGCACTATGTACCAGGCACTGTTCTAAGTACTTTATAAGTATCAATTAGTAACCACTATGAGATATGACTTCTATCATTCCTTCTTTACAGATAAGGAAACTGAGGACAGAGAAGTTAGGTCATGTGTCCAAGGTCACGCAGGTAGTAAGTGCCAGAGTCAGGATTCAAACTCAGGTAGTCAGGCTCTACCTGACTCCTACCTACTACCCTCTCTGTCTCTAATATTATCACTAATCCCTACAATGTTCCTGAGAAACAGAGTAATCTATGCCTAACACATATGGAAACCTAGGCTCAGTGAGGTTAAATAATCGGCCCAGGTTTACACAGCCATTAAGTATGGCACAGCCAGAGTTTGCACTTGTACTGTCTGAATCAAATTCCACATTCTTTATGTGAAGCCTTGTTTGAACTGTGATATTTGTGAAAACTTCCTCTAAGTAATCCATATATTTTTATCCTCAAGTATTTATTATAAACATTTCAGATTAGGAAAGTTAAAGAATAAAACTAAATGTCCTTCATCTATTTATTTTCAGCATAACGCCTGAATAATCATAGCCAAAAGAGCTAGAAGGAAATGGTACTGCAATTACTAAAACTAATGAAAGCCAATATTTCTTCTCATTCTGCCTCTTACTCTGAATGTCCTAACACTCGTATTTTGCAATGGTTGGAGAGCTCATAATTGAGGCAATGAATACACACAGGTGTGGGTAGGTCCATGGCTCATCAGTATCTGAGGTCTTTCCCCACTGGAGGAGCATAAATTAGATGTTGATTCGAAAGCCATGTTTCTGTATTTATTAAAATGAACTATGTCATTTTCTGTCTTGTAAATTAAAATATTTTAATTTAAACCTAGTTTTAGTCTGCAGTTCTCTTCATTTTCAACATACAAGATGGCTAAAAGAGTTATTCATAAGTAGAAGAAACAGAAAGTATAATTCGAGGGAATAATTTTATATTTTATTCTGGGTTCTTGAAATTTTTCCATGGAACCCCATCTTTCCTACTTGTGTTAGATTTCTTTAAAGTTCAAGAAGAATCCTCTGAAATCAGAAGATGATGATTTTAAATGGAAGCAGGGCCATAAAATGTTATAAAATCTCTGGATAAAAAGAAATATCCTGGAGAAATTCTTTAACAGCATTGGAACCCATCTAAGCTTATTGATGGCATGTGAAATCCTTCATGATCTGGCTCTGCCTACTTGTGTAGGCTCTCTTCCTATTGTTACTCACTGGCACCTCTGTCCCACCATCTCTGCTTTGTAGTTTCCGTACATAGTTTGAGTTTTCTGGTCTGCCTGCCTTTGCATATGCTGATCCATCTGCTTGGAGCTGCCATCTCTACCTCATCCCATCAACACACTCTCCCCCTATCCCACCAAAATGCCTTCTTCTTAATGAAGTCTTAGCTCATAATTTCTTCTAGGCAGAGTTAGTCTTTCTCCTAGCATTTACAATAATTATCTTTTTGAATTTTATTTACTTAAAGGTCTGGTTCTGGAATAACTCCTCGAGGTGAGAGCAGAGTTGAGCACTGTCGCACTGCTGTTGTTTTTGTCTTGAAATAGTTGAATCTCTAGGACTTAGCCCTGAGCATAACAGATGCTTAATAAACATCTACTAAAATTTGGGGTAAATGGTGGTGAGGATGACAGAAGAAAAAAATGTGGGCAAGAAGATATTTGAGTGCTTAGATATACTCTGTATGTGAGATATGGAATCACTAAATGTATTAAAAAATGAATAATGGCACCCAAAATTCAATTATTGAGTACCTCCTGAGGAATAACTAACAAATAATGCTTGGAAACTACACATGGTATAATGGAAGAAACACAGATATTGTGGTCAGAGAGACCTAGGTTTGAATTCCAGGTCTGCTACTTATTATCTGAGTCATCTTATCAAGTTATTTAATATTTAATCTGTTTCAGCTTTCTCACCGAAAAACTGAAAAGAGCTTTGCAACTTTAAATAATTACAAGTATCTGGCAGAACATCTGAAAATAGTGAAGGCTCAATAAATGTTAGCTGTTATACTAGCTTAATCAGAGAGAACAATTTTAGGTGTCAGACATTTTATCTGTCATCTAGATAAAAATTAGAAGGCCTTGAAGTTAATATATTCAAAAACAAAAACATCAAAAACAAACTAGGTAACTCATAATGATATTAGAAATACTGGGTTTACCTACCTATATTAGACATATTACGGCCAGGCAAAACTGAGTATATTTTGTTTGCAAGTTTCTTTGGCATTCTACTTGGACATTTTCTTTTGAGAGGTTAGTGACAGAGCACTTTGTAATTCCTAGAGCATATGATTCACACCTCTAACCTTTCTCTGCCTGAAAACACTCCTAAAACTCCCGAGGTATTGTTTTGTTAATTTTTTGTTTCTGTGATAAAGGAATGCAAAGGTGAATCAGGGGTTTCCCCCTTCTTTCTATAGAGTTAAGACTTTCAAAAAACAAGAGCCTTTCTGAGGAGGACAATTTTAGGGCAGCAGATGCTTTCAAAGAGAAATAAACAAAAATTCCAGTGATGTGCATTACAGAAAGTTGGCAAAAAGGAGTGAAATTTTAGTGAACCAAATGGAAGGGCCAAAAGGAGGAGGAGAAAAAAACACAAATAGGAGAAGTAAACACACATAAGAAACGATGGAAACACTAATACTGTGGATTGCATTTTCAAAACAAAAATGACAAATTAATACAGATCTTCATATATAATGGGAATTACAACAAATTAACTTTTTCTTATTAAACATTGTCTTATTCAGACAATCCCATTAGAAAAAAAGATTGGACTACAGAATGAAAAATTCATTACCTCCCTGTAACATATGTAACATCGGCATTTAAAATTAATTATTAAAATTAAAGTGAAAGTAAATAAAAGTTAAAGTAAGTAAGAAATAATTATTTACCTTCCTCAAAATACTCAGGACAAAAACTAATGGGAAATGGCACAGAAATAAACTCATTAAATGCACATATTAGAGGCTTTTAACATATTTTATACCACAGGGGGTTGCTTTTGCTCTAAATTTAGTGAGTCCAGTGAATATCTAACCTAGCTAGTCAACCAATAATTAATTTCTTGGTCAGCTCCTCTCACCCGGATGTCTCCCTGTTCCTCTTCAATGATTCTAGAACAAAACACCACGACTTGCAATTTTGCTAAGCTTTTCCTTCATGCCCCTTACCTTCTTCAAAACCCTAGCCAAAATACTTCTCCCTCCCTCCGTCCCACACCTGCAACCTCTAAACAGCAGCAGGTGTTCTAGTTCAGACCTACATTTTCTTAATTGGACTACTGCATTAGACTCTTTATTAATCTTCCTGTCTTCTATCTTATCCACATATCCCACCTGTATTTACTCTGCTGCCAAAGAGAGATATCTTTCTAATATGCAAATCTAACTGTTATCCTAGGCCCATTTCACCCTTACCCCCATCCTAAAATGTTCAATAGGTTAGATTCCCTGTGATCTACAGAATAAACTGTAAAATTGTTTACATGGCCTTCGTATTCTGGTTCTTGCCTATCTGCTCCTCTTGTATCAATCTACATTCCTCCTTTGTCTTTTTCCTGTCTATAAACCCACCACAGCCACCAGCCAAAATTAGGAGCAGGGGATAGCACCAGCAACCTGTAATGCTCCTCTAGCCCTATTTGTCCCTCCACTCACACACTGTGAGACAAATGTACCTCCTGTGGCAGAGTCCCAAAAAGGGACCTGGATACAAATTAGACTGAAGGCACAAATCAGACCCCAGTTTAGCCCTGCCATTGTGTATACTAATACGAACTGATTTCCCCTACTTTTCAATACACATAGAGAGCTAAGGAAATGAATAAAATACTTTTTTTTTTGAGAAAGCTTCATGTCATTGGTAGAAATGCCCCTGAATCTCTGCCTGCAGGTCTGTTTCTGCACACACCCAGCACAATGGCTCACAGCTGATATGTTATAGCCAGCTGTGTCCCAGTTACCTGCTATTTTGATATTCATGTTGTTATCCAGCAGGAGATTTTCAGCCTTGAGGTCACGGTGCACAATCTTCCGACCGTGACAATAATCAACAGCAGACAGGATTTGCCAGAATTTGCGCCTGGCCTCAGACTCATTTAACCGGCCATGATTAGCAAGATAGTCTGTAAAAGAAGAGAGAATTTAGAATATTCACCAAAATAAAATGACCCTACTCTTAGTATTCAGGATTTCTTTTGCTCAAAGAGCTTTTTTAATGACTAAAGGTTAGTGCTGTGGAATTACTTTTCTCAAGACAAGTTCCTTGTCTTGAGAAAAGTAATTCCAATCATATTTCACTGGAGTCCAGATAAACCAAGAAAGTCCAAGACCAGACAACAGCAAGTGGCGTAACATTAACAGTACAACTCAAAATACCTTTTATGCCCAAGCACTCCCCCTATTCTTCTGTTGAAAAATTTATTGAATAGTCCTAACTACATTTTAAAAATGAAATTTATGTAAAACATGTATCAACTCTCTGACATCCCATTAGAAAAGGGTTATCTTTCTTTTAAACAATCTTTTCATGTAGTTATGATACAAACCACCTGTAACATGAGATGGTGGTCCCTGGAAGTAGTTTAAATAATTCACACCCTGTTCTGTTCAGTGGAGCAATTCTGATCTACCCAAGATTATCCAAACTTGTTCTTTAAACCAAGCACTGTCATTATAGCCATTGTTCTCTAAACAAATATACTTTGCAAGATACATTAGCTATCTTTGTGCAATGTTATAATCTATTAAAGCAGTTTACCTCATAATTCTGCATATTTTTATATGAATTCAATAAAACAACTCACAATTTTACAACTCACATAAATTTCACCTGAAGATCTAAAAGGCCTCTGAAATGATCTTTTGAGAGACAGAGGTTCAGCATAAATCCTGAAAGCCTTTTTTATTTAAGATTATTTTCCCAAGTAAGAAACTGTACGAGTCAATATTCAGTCACCTTGACAAATTTTCTGCTCTAGGCTATGTGGTTCACTTGTTTTTAAATTCCATGCCTTTGGCTTGGGTTATCCTCAATATTTACTATAAAATTTACTAACATTTGTATAGCACTTTACAGTTTATAAAGCATGTTCATATAATATTTCACTTAATCTTTCTAAAATCCTTTTATGATAACTATTACTCTCTAACTCCCATTTTATATTTGAGGAAGCGGATGATCAGAGAGATTAAGTCATCTGTTTGAATTCATATATTTAGTAAGTGCAGGATGATGTAGAACTAGCAATTTTGATTTTTTTCTATATAAAGCTGCTTCTTTACTAGACTCCTGTTGAAATCCTAACCATCTTTTCAAAACCATCTTTGAAAAGATGGTAAGAAACCGTCTTTTCAAAAGACAAACGTTTGGAAGGATCTACTCAAACACCACTCTGCCCTTAACAGTCCCTCATCACCTCAGGTAGAAATAATCTCTCTTCTCTGAACTCCCTATCACTTATAATACGGTTTCACACTTTAATTATCTGCTTATATATAATAAATATCCCAACATGCACGTATGCACCCAGCCCTAATTCTAACACACTGTGTTTCAGAAAATAAAAGATACCTTTATTTAAGCTTCTTGAAGATAGGGACCATTTTATTCTCTGAGCTCCCTACAATGTTTAGTATTATGCAAAAAACATCATAGGTATAGTACTTAAATATTTAGTTGCTGAAGTATCATAGATACCATCATAAACCTTTATGTATTATAAAATGTGGAGTAGTAGTGTTATAGGCTTTAAATTTAAGTGGGCATTTTGTATTTTCCTCTATATCTGTTATTATCACAAACTGAAATAATCAGCTCATCACATCTTCCCTTTGCACTTAACAGAGCCCACACAGTAGCCATCCATAATTCTGAAGGGGAAAAAGGATCACTTAAGAACAAGTATGCAGAATTTCCAGTCAAAATGTCCAAACTGTCATCAGAATGACTATGTTTAAGTAAACTGGCAAATAGACAACGTGCTTCCTATTCATAAGAGTGAACCAAAGTCTCCGTCTATACTGGATAAGCTGGGAAATCCCTGAATAGGGGTTGGACCCTAGGGCAAACATAATTTAATGAGGGGAATGCAACATATTTTCCATGAGGGAATCTCTTTGGGCTAGTTAGTAATATCTTTCCTATGATTCCACACAAAATGCTACTTAAACAGTATCACTAAGTGAGACAGTTTTTCATAAACAAATGACTGGCTTCCCCAGACAGACATTTCTTCCTCTTGAAAATGCTGAGTCAATGCGTATTAGTGAAAAAGATTTTTGAGATTTTGGCAATACAGAAAAACCTAACAGATCCAGTGTGAACAAGTACAAATTAATATATATAGATAAAGAACCCAAACTATTGCCTACAAAATGAGTCTTGGCATGCATAATATCAAAGTAATTGATATTTTCTGAAGCAATCAGTTCAGACTGGCACCACCATAGCCAAGAGGGAAGAAAAGCTTTGAAGAGGGTATTGTCTGAAAAACAAAAGCATGGTATATCTGAACCTAAAATTATGTAAAGCCACAGTATTCACATGTCAAAATATATATAACACACAGTGTGAGAAACATGACAACATTTGCATTCCAGAGATTGAGAGACCAACTATTTAAAGAGGTGGTATTTCACTTCTTAGGCAAAAATCTTAGTGAGTATTCCAGCATATCTATTATCTTTCCCATTCTTTATGATTTCTGCAGTGTGGGCATCCTTCAAAACCATATCATCTGCTGAGAAATCAGTAATAGAAGTAACTCAGGCAAACATCTGTGGCTACAAATAAAATCAGTTTAGGTAGACACCATCTTCTGCAAAGGGTACTATTACCAATCCAAGCTAATCAAGTTAATGCACAAGGACCTCGAGTTAACAGGCAAAAGCAGTTTCACTTTAAAAACTTAATTATGGTTATAGAACAAACTTATGGCTGTCATAGCAATTCTCTATACTAATTGCCTGTTTGTATTTTTGACAAATGGAGTTTTCAAAAAATTGTTTTTTTTCCCCGCTGTCTACATGTGTTCTAAGTAAAATGTAATTTTTGTTGACTTTAAGAACAAAACTTTTTAAAATTGTATTTTGTATGTCCTTTCCTCCCCATTTTGTTTTTCTGGTAATTGGTTTTTATTGTATATTACAAAAGTCATGGTCTGTGACAAATTAGACAATTAAAAAATTTGTCTTTCAACAATGATAGTTTGAGAAATACTGGTATAAACTGATAAACAGGCAATTACAATATGCTGTGATAAAGGCCAGCACAGGAATAAATATATCCTTACATTATTTTTGCAGATCATTTAAAATTTTCTTTTTATTATGAAAGTCTCAAATATACATGAAAGCAGAGACAATAGCCTAACAAATCCCCCAGATTCAAGAGCTATCAACATTTGCCATACTTGCTTCATTTATCCTTTTTTCCTTTTATCCCTTTTTGTGCTGTAGTAACCTAAAGCAAATCTTGACATCATTTTGTTTCACTCTATTTTTGTATTTCTAAAAAAAAAAAAAAAAAAAAAAATTTTCTTATATAACCAAATACCATTATCATACCTAAAAAAATTAACAATTCCTTTATATCATTTAATTTGAAGTATGAATTCAGATATCCCTAGTTGGCTATTTTAATCAGGATCCAAATAAGCTGTACATTTTGTATTCATTTATTTTGTCTTTGGAGTCCTTTTATTCTGAAACAGTTCTTCTCCCCTCTCCCCTTTTCTCCATGAAACTGACTGGTTGAAGAAAATGGGTCATCCTACATTCTGGATTTGTCCTTTGCTACCTTGTAATATTGTTTAACTTATTCTTCTATCTCCTGTATTTCCTAGAAATTGAAATTTAACTATAAAGAATATTCAAGCTCACTTTTTTTTTTGGAAGGTGGCAAAAATGTCATAGGTACATGTTTTAGGAGTGCTAAGATTAATCAATGAGTCTGGGAGTGATAGCTTGATTCTTCAATTAAGGACTCTCATTACTCTTTTTCCTAATATGGTTCTCAAGCTTTAGTGTACATCAGAGGCCCTAGAGGGCTTGTTAAAAAAGATTACTGGAACCTATCTCCAGGGTTTCTGATACAGTAGGTGTTAGAAAGGATCCAAGAATTTATATATATTTTTAGAAGTATCCAGGGAAGCTTAAGATGCTGGAACAGAGGCCACACTTTGAGAACCACAGCACTAATTTTGGTATTTATTGGTGGTCATACCTGAATCAATTACTTCATCAGGGGTTGCAAAATTGTAATTTTTCTAAAATTTTTTTTATTCCTGCCACATTTGCTAGATAAAATTCTTCTGTACAGAAGAATTTTCTCTTATCAATTAGGCCTATTTCATTATCCTGAAATATAACTAAAATAGATGAGAATCAATGAATGCTTGATTCTTCCTCCTTAAGTACCAATTTTCAGAGTAAGAGGTTGGTATACTGGCTACCTTCAATGGTATCTATTAAAATTTGTATTTTTTTTTTTAAGCTTTTTCCCCCTCCTATATTAGCCTTCTTTTCTCTCTCTTAGAATTCTCTTAAGTATCATAATGAGTGCATGGATTTTTATATATTCAATTTATTTCAATCAACTAGTCATTTTTTTTGATGCTCAAATTTTCCTATTTTTGACCAATGGGAGCCCCTTGACACTGTTTTTGTCTTTTAATATGATCACAGAAATATTCAATATCTTTATTGCTTTCTCACATAATAATAACATCTCATGGTAATACTTCCTGCTCCAAACCTAGAGTAAGTCATTTCTCTAGGAAGCCTTGGTTCTTTTTACTGAATGGTATCTGGGTGCTCAGGGTGCTTTTTAACTAATTTGTTGGTACTGCTTCTAAGCCTTTTCAGGGACAGAGCCAGGAAATAAGTACTTTTAAAAAGAAAAAAAATAATAAATTCATTCCATTTCAAATTTAAGAGTATGAGAATTACTTTTGATTTTTATATTTGTATTTCTTTTTCTCTTACGTAAAAGATCCTGGTTCTTAACGTTAACATACATTACTTGTTTTTTTCTCTAATACTTGTGAAATATATTCATAATAGTTATACTAGTATTACTATTAACAATAAAATTAATGGGTGAAGTTTAAAAGTTAACATTTCT